TTTTTTTCAGGTCTGATTTTCGCTATTGCTTAAATAGCGCTATCTACTGCGAGGATCGTGCATCATATGTATCTAATACCGCAGTACAAAATATATGAACTTCATATATTTCATTGTATCTCATTTATCACTTTCACGGGTTTATTACGAATCAACTTAACGGCCTGCTCCCAGTTGGCTTGTTAGCTCAATTGGTAGAGCGCTGCACTAGTATCGCAGAGGTCAGTGGTTCGAATCCCGTACAGGCCTGATTTTTTTTCAGGTCTGATTTTCGCTATTGCTTAAATAGCGCTATCTACTGCGAGGATCGTGCATCATATGTATCTAATACCGCAGTACAAAATATATGAACTTCATATATTTCATTGTATCTCATTTATCACTTTCACGGGTTTATTACGAATCAACTTAACGGCCTGCTCCCAGTTGGCTTGTTAGCTCAATTGGTAGAGCACTGCACTAGTATCGCAGAGGTCAGTGGTTCGAATCCCGTACAGGCATGATTTTTTTCAGGTCTGATTTTCGCTTTTGCTTAAATAGCGCTATCTACTGCGAGGATCGTGCATCATATGTATGTAAAATTGTGTTCGGTAGACAAAAGCATGATATCGTCATAAGAAAGTTAGGAATATGGACTCCTCTGCCTATCTGACTTCTGAGTGGCTCTCACAGAAACAAAAATTTCAATGCAGTCTTACCCTAAGAAACTTGATATTATCTTCAATTTTCTGGAACACAATGCCTGAGTGAGCCTTGATATGCTCGGTAAAACACTGCTCTAGCTTCATGGAGTGCCCTGCAAGGACCACCCCATAATTGGCCTTGTAATCGTATATCCGAACGATCCTGAAGCGAGGGTCATTAAACAGGTAGTTGTGAGAGGACAGCACATAAAGGTCCACCAAAGCGCCTTTCACTTCTTGATTCCCCAAAGCACGGCTGATTTCTTCATAACTCTTGTAGATACGGACTGGAAAATGTTAAGAAGGACAATGTAAAGTTAGTGAGGATCACTGTTTCGATCAAACGCACGAAGAATGAACTGAAAGAAAACACGAACTCAGTGAGAGACTTTAAATATATTCTACTATCCATACAAAAATTACTGCGAAAGGTATCCTGCGGACTTATGTTCAATAAATTTCTAACTTAGAATTAATAAGTTGAATAAAAAGGTTAAAAAAGAGACTTTGTCCCTTGATACTAATATTTACCTGTGTTCACCCGTGCATTCTTCCGCACACCGAGTCGAAAATCAGAATTGTTCGCAATAGCTGCAACCTAGAAGCCAAAGTGTATTGTTAGCAAAAGACATAAAGATGCCCATGGGTAAACAAAGAATAAATTATCTGAAAAATGAGTTTTGCCGAGTTATTACTTCATTTGCGCGAGAGGAGGCATACGAGATATGGTTTGGGACCAGGCTCCAGTTATCAGCGCAGCAGGAAGCGGAAAGCTTTGAGACGAGTTGGGGAGAAGTTCGTTGGGGTATGGCACTAGTATCAGTGCCAAATCCCTTTCAGACCACTCGCACGCTCACGTTGCTCAAGTCCTCACATTTTCGAAGAGACACTCGAACCAAAGCGCTCGCGGCTATACAAGACAGAACTGCTTTCATTTTCACTAAAAAACCCCGCACCTAGTTTTTCAGGTAATGCGAGACTAACTTTTTTGAGCTCTGTAATCAAACAAAATGGGCAGTAAACTGACTTTGACCCAATGACTAACCTTTGCACCATAGAGTGGTATGTAGGGTCCTTTATAACCAAATTCAGTGAGAACTGTGGCAACTCTTCCAGTTAAAATGGCAACAACCACCAAACCACTCAAAGTCCAAGTAATTGCAAATAAGCGAGCCAGCACTCCTCTAGGACAGCGGTCGCCGTAGCTGAACAAGAGCCAAATTTCAAGGAATCAGTAAACGAAGAACTACATCCTGGATCGGTACCTCACTCCTGGGTTCAATTCATTCTATCCATTTACATACAGACTAACGACACATTCTGATAACATTTACAGGCTGGACTTTAATCCAGGAGGGATGAAGAGGTCTGGGTTCGAGTCTGATTCGAGCCTCTTTCTGGGAGTATACTTGGATGTCAGGAACCGACCAATGAAACTTAACGAGTTCCCGGATGTAAACCTGCGATGGACTAGTATCACTTCAACAGAAATAATGATGATAATGATGGGAACTTTAGCAGTCTCTATCGAGGGAGAGTAGCAACATTGTAATTCTAAGTAACTTTATTCTAAGAAAAAAGTTCAGACAGTAATGAGCGATTAGGTTTTTAAGACATAATGTTTTAAAAATAAATTCCAACATGCTCACGTACGAATTTTCCTTTCTGGTCTGATGAAGCGATACAGCCATATTTAACGAGGGAAAAAGCTGACTGATTGAAAAAAAAAATGTAGATAAACTCTGTCATGAGTGATTTGATACGATAAATGAATATTAGTGAATTTGTAACCACGCAAGTGGAAATAATGATTCATTAGAATAAAGCGCGCGTCGGGTAAGCACGCTTTGACTGCGCTTATTACAAACTCGACTTACCCTACAGTGGTGGATGTAACAAAGGCCCACCAAAGTCCTTCAGGGGCTCCTCGGATGAAAGAACCTGGGAACTCTCGGCTGTTAGATCGAGCGTCCTAAAAGGATATAATATCTTGCATTTTTCTCGTCAATAAGTTCTCCTTTCTTTAAGTAGGATGAACATTTAGTACATCGGATTGGTTGGTTACAATGAAGAAATAAACCTATGCGAAAGTTAAGTGAACTCTCAACCCACTCCAGGGAACCTTTTGCATAAATTGGTAGAAAATTGGATCTGGGGAAACGTATTAGAGAGAGTAATGTTGCGAGCTATTTCGGGTTGCAATAAAAACAAGTGACTTAGACAGGTAACGCATTTCAACAAGCATTTAGTCCAGTACTGTTACAAGCTGCCTTAAAAATCATTTCTTAAACGAGCCCCACATGTACATACCAGCAGCCACATTAGGATTCCAGCTGCGACCATCATGATTAGGGAGAGGAGAAGCAGCGGCCATGACTGAATAAAAACATTTGCAATCGCGATGGCTTTTTCGTGCGGATCCATCACTGTGATAAAACCCACTCCAGGGGACTCTGCTAATTTGACGTATCTGTACAAAGAGTAATGCGTCTGCCCGTCGAACCCATTCACTGGCGTGCTAAAATCCGTCAGTGAATCAATGCTGCTAATCAGAGCCTCGACGCCCCTCTTCCGTGCAAGGTCTCCCTTCCCATCAAGCTCAAAGTCGATGGTAGAGGCAGGTTTGCCATTGGCGAGGACACAGTCACTGCAGCAGTATTCCACTGCCCCCTCCAGGATTCGAGGGATGAAGCCACCCACGGTGCCGTTTTCGTAAGTGATATACGGGGGAAACGGGTACCAGGTGGTTTTAAACTCTCGGGGGCACCTACAGGTCGCTGAAAAGTAATTAAATACATTTTAAACTCTAAGGAATCACCCTGTCGTCAAAATGTCTTCTACCTGACACACCAGCTCTAAGGAGGTGCTAAGAAAGAGATGCATTATTTCTTTGGATGACGAGAAAATTGATTGATGACTGAAGTTCATCGGTGGATCCATACTTTTATTCAAGGGGGGGGAATGTTGCTCGTGAAGATAAGCTTGACAAATAACTGAAAGAAACTCGGCGCTTGTGGCTAATGAGTTGCACATCTCTCTTTCTTTGACGACCAAACTTAAAATTCTGGATCATGTGTGCTTTTGGTAACTTCTTTATACAAGTTTGACTCTCTTTCATCTAACTCCGCCTTTTTTTTCAGCGGAAATGTTGTCAAAAATTGATTATCACCGCAACGTGAACTTACATCCGTCTTTGATATCGGTCAAAACTCCTTCTCCTTTGATCGTGAACGCTGCAATTTGCAAATCATAAACAGCAAAGTTTTTTAGCGGCGTTACTGTGGTGTTCTGTTCAAAAGGTCCAACAGTCACAGCTTCCGTCTTGGAGGTAGAGAATCGTCCTAACTCTTGCACCTTTGTAAAGTAAATGCGGTATCCCAACAGAATTCCATGTACAAAGCCAACTGGCACTGGTTCCCACCTCACATCCATTTTGAAGTCCCCAGTGCGGGATATGGGAGTAAGAGATGCCGGTGGCATACTAGGAACTGTTGAAATATTCCAAACTGAAATAAATATGACGATCGGAACTAAAGAACGAACGAAGGTGTTTTATAGACGATAGAGAAATAGAGATTAAGGGTGTTAGTCGTGAGTAAGGATCGGCCGGGCATACTGGTTCAGGCATACATAAAATTTTGTTATTAAAGCTGAATCACTCAGTAACTTGGGGTAATACCTTAATATTATCTATTTTCTTTTTTAATAACTTATAGAATGTGGAAAACGGCCATGAAAAAACATTCAAGTATGAACTAACCAGTTCTATGCGCCACTAAAGTTAAATCCATTTGTGCGGCCAATCACAGTGCATGGTATGCATATTCTAAATTATCGGACCAACCAATCATTGGCTTGCGGAGTTTTCTGTCACTCCACTCAAATTGTATCAGGAAAATAATAATAATAATAATAATAATAATAATAATAATAATAATAAATGGATGAGCATAAACACATTCCATACTAACCATCCTCATCCGTAGATACAATAAACCTGTGACTAATATTTCCATCTCCTTTCGAGGTGAAACCCAGTATTTCCACAGTGTAGTTCGTAAATTTCTCAAGAGACGTTATGTTATAGGAAAGAGCGTTCGGAGGTAAAGTAATATTGGTGTAGGCGGACCAGTCGCTCACGATCGAACGCCTCGCGCGGGACCTGAACACTATGCTGTTGTCCCTTTGTGCAGATCGATAAAGAAGTTTGATTCCCAGGAGTTTACCGTGAACGTTGTCTTTGGGGATTGGTTTCCATTGGACAAATACACTTGTGGAGCTGGAATTTTGCAGCTTGATGTCTTGAGGAGGAAGACTTGGAACTAAACAAAGCAAAATTCGATCCACCAATGGTATTAATCGGTTTATTATCTCATCATGGTCATTCCTCTTGAAAAGAAAACTCGCCCCGAGAATTTTTGCAAAATATCACTTAATGATTTATGGTTATATAAGAACTTCTTAAATTTTGAAATAAAAACAGATGATGGCCGAATACATCTCATAATTCCATGTCAAGTTACATTTACGATTGCTCTGCCAGCTCACGTTTCCAGCCATTTAGTTCTTTCTTCTGTATTTTCCTTTTTTCGATGGACCTCTCTGTAGCATGTAAAGCAGTAGAGGTCTCATACAGTATTGGGCTGGTATGCAACTGTTTACGGATACAAAACGAAATTGAAAGTGAATTTGAGAAAGAAATTGATGTAAACGCATCCTAATGGTCAATTCAATTATTCAACTATTCATTTCTTCATTTCTTCACTCATTTCTTCCTTCCTTGCTTCTTTCCCCACTTCCTTCCTTCCTTCTTTCTTTCATCCATCTATTCATTCACTCATTTATCTATGAATAAATCAAGGTCGATCGAGGTACATCAAGCAATTAAAAGAAGGAAAAGCTTAAACTTACTGTCTTCGTCAGTGGAAACTATAATCGGCTCAGTGCCTATCCCTATAAACTTTGTCACTCCCATAATTTCAATGCTGTAATTGGTGTATTTCCTTAGGTTAGTTAATTCAACCGTAAGGTTTGTTGGTGGCACAGTTACAGTGTGCGTCGTGTTTTCAGCTGTGTCTAATTGACGATAAGCGATGTAAAAGTTTCTAAGTACTCCGGCGACGTACGCGGCAGGAATGCTAGTCCACTGCAGTGAGATAGATGTTGAACTTGAATTCTTCCCATAAAAACTTGTTGGTGCTACTCGAGGTGCTATAGGAAAGACAAAGCATTGCGATTGCGAGTGTTTAAGTGAAAGAAGACGTGAAATAGAGCACATTACGATTGAGGGTTGTAAAACCAAACTTAAGTAATCATAACAACCAAACGCAAACAACCAACGCAAAGAAAAAAATTGTACATTGCTTTAAGCGCTGGAGGACGCGAGTGATATTAGTTTGGAATCTGTTTGCTTGAGAGGATGGTGGGAGTTTTCTGGACCAATCACAGAGCGAAATAAAACTAATTCAATCTAAGATTATTTTCGATAATTGAAAATTGCCCTATGGAGGAAAAGTTTAGCACAAATTAGAGAACTTTCCGACGGAGAAAGAAAGAAGCACCGAGAGAACAAAAGAAAAATAACGCACAACAAATGAAAGATATGAGAGAATGCATGAAAGAACGAAAAAAACAAACACGAACGACCAAACATATGAACGACAGGAATAGACAAACGAATGAAAGAATGAGTAAAGGAACGGCCGATCGGATGATAACAAAGACAATTGAAGGAAACACTGAATAAAGAGGTTGTCAACCAGCAAAAACAATAAGTAGTCTACGCATAGCTTCTTCATCCACGACTGAAAGGTTTTTGCACACGAACACTTGAACAACTGAATTTTTTTAAAATCGTACTGGCCTGCCTGGCTTTATGCATTCGAATAAGTTTATCGAGGAAAGATCTCTGTATAGCCCTATACCATTCTAAAAAAACAAAGCAGTAGTCTCATAGGCAATCAATTGCTTTTACCAATGTGTTCTCTATCCAAATCGAAAGTATGTGTGATGGGGTATGGTTTATTGGCTCGTTTCGGAAAGATTTCCTTTCAACCCGAAACTATTCTAAAACAAAGCTGTAATCCCGATAGAAATCTATTGTTTTCGCCATTGTTTTCCACGAACTGTATACATAATGAGTTATGGGACTCTACGGAAGTTTTACCCTCCTTTTTAAATCTATAAATCATCAGCCATCGGGTGATAACAATTTTATTTACCTTCCTCTTCAGTTTTTACTGATATAACTGAACTTGATGGACCGTCGCCTTTGATAGTAAACGCTTTAACTTTGCATGCGTAGGTCGTAAAAGCGTTTAATCCATCTACAACTCCCTCCAGAACAGAGCTGTTAAATTGTTTTTCAACAAAACCCTGGTAACCCTGTGCTATCCAGCAAGATCCTTTGTAGCCCATCAAAATTCCATTAAGTTTGTCTCGAGGAACTGGCTGCCATAGTAACCTGATTTCTGTTTGACTTATGTTATGACCGGTTACATTCTGTGGCGGTGCGTCTGGAACTTAAATAAAGGGTTCCAAATATAATTTACAATTCGCATATCACACCTTACGTCAACTGCAAATTAAATGGTCCCCGTCAGATAATTTTACAATTCAAAAGAAATAAATTAAAATAAACAATAACCAGCAATAGAAAACTGAAGTACTCAATTCTATAGAGGGTTCAAGTAATCACTAACTTTTATTTTCATTGTGCCTAATTTGAAGTAGACAAACATCAGTTTGAGCAGCGTCTATAAAGAAAACGTTTTCAAACCGAGTTTAACAAAACGGTTGTTTTGGCTTTTATTTGCATGGGCATCAGTTTGTCTAATATGGCCTTAAAATTGCATGATCCTTGACATAATTTAACTTACCATCCTGATCGGTAGACGCTAGCGTGGAAACTTTAGGTCCATTTCCCTTAGATGTGAATGCGACAATGGATATCTGATAGGTATGAAACTTTTTCAGCGCTAGGAACCATGTACCCATCAAGGTAACTGTTTTTGTCATTGTCACCGAAGCGTTGCTTGGGTCTGTCAATGTTGCACGATAACCTCGAATAATTCCAAGCCGGCAACATTCGGCCACAGGCTTCCAAGTGGCAAAGATAATGGTGGAACTCACATTGTAAGCTGTGAAATTAGAGGGCGGCTGACTCGGAACTGCAAAAGAGCAATGCAGAATGAAAATTTTTAACAAAAAAAGGGTCAGTCTTAAGAGAAGTCAGCCCGACATTCCAGTTATCTGTTTCAAACGTCACAAGTATTTGTATTTTGTATTCTATCTATTTCTCCTCTCTACCTAGAAGTATTTTAAGTTATATAATAGACAAGGTAATAACTTAGCAATTCTTATGCTGCACTTTCAAATATTAGAGAGGAGGGAAGAGGGGAAGAAAAATATACGGCCATCTTGCTCGGTGACCGCTGACAAGTACAAATCAGGAGGATCCCAGCAAAAATAATCGGTATGTCTGTCTGTTCGTTTACTTCTGTCAGTTTAAAGCACGTTCGTAATTCGTCAGGCAACTAGATAGCCACAGTTTGACGTCAATTAAATTGAGAAAAGAGTATCTGACTGAGTTCACACTAAATAAATATTCGACATCTACTTACCGCTCTCCTCCGTGAACAACTCCTCTGCCACAATCGGACCGTCCCCATAATTATTAAACCCTAAAATCTCTATCCTGTATTCGGTGAAAGTCCTGAGTCCTGTGAAGTTGGTCTCTACTATATCCAATCCGTAAGTACGATTTTCCATACTTTTTGAACCCCTTTTGGTTAACTCGTATACAAACAGCTTGTATCCCAGCATGATTCCATGTTGTTTGTCTTTCACTATTTCCTGCCATTGGGCATATAGGCTTGACGTACTTGTGTTGTGGGCAGTGAAAGCCCGGGGGGGAGCGCCGGGGACTAGTCACGAAAGACAGGAAAAGAAAAGAGGTTATAAGGTACCAAGGCCTGTAGTTTAACAGTTAAATCAATTCAGGGTTGCTTGAGAGAACCTACGTGAGTCCCCTGGTGTAATAATAGTAAATAAACACGATCGTAAAAGGTTGAGGGAAATATTTAATATATATTAATTGATAAAGAATATAAAAAAAAAATTAGGGCGAGTCTTTAAGGTACATAAGATAACTTCAGTGATGGCATTGCAATGTTATGATTTATGAGCTTGGACTAAATTAATCAACGGTCCAATTAACAGCACTGAAACTTTGAGTTCGCTGAACTGACCTTCACCGTGAGTTCTGACCACAAATGACTCATTTGTGGGACCTGTACCCTTTGCTGTTCGAGCTGCTATAGTAATGTTGTATAGCCGATATACTTCCAATTCTTTGGCGATCTTACTTCGCAAAGTTCTGTTGTGAGTTTCAAACGTTTTTAAGTTTGCATCTTCTGGGAAAACATCACTCGCATTGGCTTCTAGAAAATACAGTGTGAATCCTTGCAGGTGGCCAAGAATCAGTCGAGGGTTATCATCATAGTTCCAAAAAACTTTGATTTCCCGTGAGCTGACATTGTAAGCTGTTATATTAACAGGAGAATTTATAGGGGCTGAAAATAAAGAGAGGAGCATAAAAGATTGAGGAACAGAAATAGCTTGTTTTCTGCACCACTTAGACTAGGTTTACACTAGAGGAGAGTTTTCCGGATTCGTAAATGTTTCCGGATTCATCAATTTTGGAGTATTCGGATTCGTAGGCGTTTACACTGAAAGGATATTCGGATTCCTGACCGTTTACACACAAACGACAACTCCGGGAACATTTGAAATGGAATGGTTACCAAGACCAGTGTTGTTTCGTGGTTCGATCAACAAAGTGAAAATGCCTCCCCCAAAAAAGGCTAGAGTAGATCCAGATGCCACTGAGGCAAATTTGAGTTGGACAAATGCCAAGCCTTCAATGTTGTCGGCGATTAAGTGTGGCTGACGTTAAACTTCTTTACAATAATAATTTGCGTTTCCTCAGAAATACCGCGGTACACATGATAAAATTTATCGCCTGAACCTGCAACAAGATTAGGCAACCGGAGACCACCAGCAATGTTAGCACCAGATCCATTTTGGTTTCACCGCAAACTCAAAAGATTGCAGGTGGAAATAATATCCGCGGTTACACGACCAAACCGGGAAGTTTTTATTTCGGATTCGTCCAATTTCGTGTAAACGGTAGAATGAATCCGGTACTAAAACGTTTCGGATTCATCACGAATCCGGAACAATTTCCTCCTGTGTAGACCTAGTCTAAGATAACTACAATAAAAGCCGCAAAGTGTAATGTTTCGCCTTCAAACGTTTCGCCCCTTTCTACTCCAAAAAGGGTTGTAGAAGCTAAATTTGGACCATGTTCTTTGTTTTGCAGTTCAACGACATTCTCCTTTGCTGTGCAAAGTTTCCTGGCACAAACAATATGT